GCTGTCCTGGACTCACTGTGTAGACCAGGCTGCCCTCAAACTCACAGAGCTCCACCTGCCTCTGCCTCCTGAGTGTTGGGACCACAGGGTGTGTGTCTCCACACCCGGCTGTTTTCTACTTTTTAAATAGAAATACCATTGATGCACTTTTTTTAAAAGTTTGCCTCGGTGCTTTATGGACTACATTGTGCTGTAAGGTCCAGGGCAGGAACCAAGGTGGCGTCCTCTCTTTCCTGTTTGCTGTCATCTGGGTTGATTCGTGTCTTCATTAGGATAAAGGGCCAGAGAAGGCGAGCATCCTTCGCCTTACTCGTCACCGAGAGGAAACGGCATGGGAAGTGTATTTTTAATAAAGGCGTTTCCAGGTGTACAGCCATGTCATCGTCCTCTGTAGCAGACCTAGTGGAGAGTTAAGGAATTTTCCAAAAGTGAGTCAGCATTTCACTTCCTGAATAAGCCTGCTTGTTTACAGTTTCCTTAATATGCTTTTAGATTTTGTTCACTAATATTTAATTACATCTTTTACTTCATTTATAAAGAATTCTTTGTCTACAAACTTTTTTTAAAACCTCCCTTTAAAAAATACATTGTGTGTGTTTGAGTGGTGTTTGTGTGTTTGTGTGTGTGTATGTGTGTGTGTGTGTGTGATGTGTGAGAGTGTGCACCCCAGATAGGAGCCCTCAGAGGAGTTTCTTCTCTCCTTCTGCCATGCCTGTGCTGGGGACTGAGCTCGGGCCACCAGGCTGGCAGCAGGCGTTTACCTGAGCCGTCTCGCAGGCCCCTTTTACTGTCTTCGCAGGCTTAGTTTTGAATGGTGCGTTCACACTAATAAGGTTCAGAGGGCTGGCGTTACAAAGCCTTCGCTCCTGCGTGAAAACGGCCTTCAGTTGTCATTGGAGCCTCTTGTTGGCTTAATTGTCCCCAAAGAAATAGCTATATTTTTCAGGAGACCTGTTTTAATTTGTAACTACTTTTAAAATTGTTTTATTCATTTTGCATCCCGATCCCGAGGACTAGGGGACCGGGGTGGGACTGGAAGGGGACAAGAGTCCTGATTTAAAGTCTGACCAAATCAGCTTTACAGACTTTCTCAAGCACTTGCCATGTCGGTAACAATTAAAGCTTGATTCCTAAGCACTGCTTTGTGTATAGGCAAATTTGTTCTATTTCTGCAGGTCATTATTTCAGAGACAGTCAATAACATTCATAACTGAAGGCAGGCAGTTAGCTCCACTGTGGTTGAGCAGGTCGTGGGCAGGTGGGAAAGCCGGTGTGGAGCCCCGTGGGAAGGCTCCTCCATTCTGGCCTCGCCCACAGCTGAGCTCACTCGGCACACCCCAGCCTCGGAGTGAAGTGCTGCGTCTGTCGGCTCACCGAAGCAGTGCAGCAGAAGTGTGGGGTGTGTAAGAGGAAGCCGGGACCCTGACGAGCTCACGCAGTGCGCTGAGGCTGCACAGCCAGTGTGCATGCTGGGAGGCTGCTGTCAGGGCCGCGGCACTGTGATGTCACAGAGGCGCCCAGCCGTGTGGCAGTGTGGGTGTGAGCACGGTGGGACTGGATGGCCAGCCCTGGCAGACCCAGTGTTCAGTTAACTGTAGCAAAACATGAGGCCCGAGTGAGCTGTGTGACCCGGTAGTTAGTGCAATGTGCCTGTGGGACATCTACACGGATCCTTGGAACCAGGTGTGCAGGGCTCTGGGGTGGGGACCCCAGGGTTGGTGTCACTGCTCTGTGGGCAGGAGGAGGCCTGCTGGTTTGGAAGTGGTTGAAGGAAGTGGAAGACTGAGAGGATGCGCTGTGGAAGGTGGGAGGGTGGAATGAGCCCTCATCACAGGGACTCAGGCAGTGGCTGCAGGGGACTGGCCCTGTTGGGAGGGAGGCAGTGTGGCCCCAGGGGCAGAGCTGGTGGTGCTGTTGAGGGCCAGGCTTCCTCCTGCCTCCTCCTGCCTCCTCCTGCCTCCTCCTGCCTCCTCCTGCCTCC